TGAAGAAAGTGTTGTAGTGGAGATAAAGAGTAAATAGATCAGCATCTTAGAGAGAAAGAATGTATTTGTAAAATTTCAGAGAATGCATTTGAAGTAAATCCAACGTTTCGCCTGGCAATCTGATTCAAATTTTTTCAAGGAAATATAATCAAAATTATTGTTGGGCCAGATCAACAGGCAAAACGTTGGATTTACTTCAAATTCATTCAATAAGATCTTACAAACACATTCTTCCTCTTTAATGTTTCACATCGACTCGGTGCCCGAATACTGTGAAACTATTCTATTAAATTTAGACGAAAGCTTTTATTTATGTATCAGCATATTTTTAATTAAATTTAAGACATTGCACTATTGCCCAGAAACCACGTATTTCGCATTTCTCATGTTAACTAGGAAAAATATACCTTTATATGGGGTAGAATGTAGTGATTTCTTGTCAAGAAATATTTCTCCTTATCTGTCATGATTATACTTTATAGTTAATAATGTTTTGGAATGAGTTGATATGTAACTTCGATATAATTATCAATGCATATAACTGCAGCAAATATAAGTGAACATGATTACTGTCAATATGCAAAACTGGGTTGTGTACTATTTTCAAAAGGCCTTTATTGAAAGATTTCAATTCATATTTTTAAAATTTTATTGCATTAAACAATGCGATAAATCATTAGTTTTGGACTTACTGGGGATTTCATACAACTTTATAATAGTTTTGTAATATACGGTGAATCATTACATATCCTCATTTATTGGAATATATTTATATCAATAAACATTTCTAAAATTCATTTCCTTCGTCAGAACCCGTAGTGGAAATACTAAAAGGACATATTCATATATAATGACTGAATAAAATTGTACTTTGTTCTCTTCTCCATTGTGAAATTACTGAATCGAGTCAAATAAACCGATCAATTAAACAGATGGGTTATTATCATTATCACATATTCGTCAACTTTAAATCTTAAAAAAATTTATAGTTAGTAAACGTATTATATAATTAAAATCACGAATAGGCATCAAGTGTAAGAATACAAAAAATCACGCTGAACTAAGTATTCATTCCATGCTTTTTGATGTTAGTCAGTACAGTGGGTAAATATCTTCGCACGAAATCAAATCGACAGTTTCAACGTCTATGAAACAACATATTAATATTGATCCAGTATAACCAATAATTCTCTTTTCATATATTTATTCATCTTTGAGAAAAGATTTCGTCTTCTCCTCCTCCTCCTCCTCAAAACTATCCGTTCCTCACTAAACCACTAAAAAGCTTTATTATGTTGCTAATTGATTTGTTCCTTCTTCTCTGTAGATTGGGTTTATGCATTCGTGAGATTGATCCACATTTAAATTGCCCAGATGTTTGTCGTAGTAAAACACATAAATTTTGCAAAAACAAACCATACACTGTTGGTTTCTGTGGTACTTATATGAATGACTTATTACGTGATGCAAAAATCCATTATACAGAAGAGAAAAAAGTAAAAGAATTAAAAAGGATTTTGAAAAATTGGTTATCACATGTACCTGTTGAGAGACGTCTGCCGATGGAATTTTTTCTGCATTTTATTAATAATAAAAAATTGTTTCTCAATGTCATTGAAATTCAACGACAAAGTGCACTGATAGCTTATTGTCCTTGTGAAGCTAAATATATAGTAAGTAGTATGAAGTTTATACTTGAAATAATCAGTTTGATGTGTAGATGATACTGAATAACCAAGTTGTTTGTGTTGAATGTTCTTCATCGATGCTCATCTTTAGCTTAAATTACAAATTCTATTTCAAAAAAGCTGCTTTATTGACCAATAGAGAAACTCGATTTATGCACATCTATCACGTCAATTTATAGGCAGATATCTGAATAAACTGGCTGACCGTCATGCAAAGACTAACTCTTTAGTTGTAGTGATCTAGAAACTCAAACGAATATTTGAGGTGGTTTTTGTTACAGACTGACATCAGTTGGAGGATACAGGAAAATCAAGAAGAATCAACTAGATATTGCATCTGAGCTTGTGACAACCAAGCGATGCGCACCCATCAGCTAATACTGAGTCAAATAAGAGATTTTCAGATCTCACATTTCGTATAATACCGACCAGTCACAGATTGAATCCCATAAGACAATTGTCACTCTCAACTATTTCGATCCATCTTGATGCTGTTCACTAATCAGTGTGTGTTTGTTGTTCGATCAGGTACTTGGTTCAAGAACTTATTGTCTTGGATTGGATTACATGTTAGTTACTAGACGCCTAATTAAGATGAAACGATTAGACAGTGTTTTTGGCTCTTGGCAATTCCCCAACAGGTATCAACTCGTGGTGAAAACCATCTTCAAGCTGATCGAATGTCAACAGTCTACTCCATTCGACAACAAACAAGCACTTTTAGCTTACCGATAAATAAACATAGAAAGAGGGAATCTGGGTAAAAATAATTACTTGTCAGCGTCTCTCTACTGACTACATACAAATACGAAAGTAGAACCAGTAATCTCTAGTCGTTCTTGGATTCCTTTTAAGACAGATTGAGTGAAGTCATGAATCGCATTTTTCTCGTCGATTATATCAACAATGACCAATCACCTTAGGTCAACAACTAATAAAAGAAATATGATTACATTCATTAAGTATTGTTGACACCTAAACAAGGAGTAATTCTCACATTTTTACTATAAGACAGACCTCTATTCTTTTAGCTCAATGAGTTTGCAGTTGCGTATTCGGTGGAAACCACAACACATTTATTCAGCTGTCAAGTTCCACTACTGGTCATAATGAATCAGTTTTGAAATATGAAGTGACTTGTTATCAAATACAAAATACACCTGCTAGTGTTTTATTCTTCATACACAATGACTGGGTCGAATGGGAACTGGGATAGTACATTTTTACATTTCTTGTTTTCTTAATCAGTTCTCTTCAAACGATCAGGGCAGCAGAATCGTCTATCTTAATACTGGCTATGTTTGATAATTATAATTATTCGAATTATTGTACTAACTAGAAATTCCCGAAATTGTGCACTTTGCTGTAAGTAGAACTAGATAAGCATAATTGAACGTATTGTATTTGGAAATCAGAGGGCAATCAAGTGCAAAAGATTCATTAGTTTGTACAAACACCACACGAAGTCATCTCACTAAACATATACTTTATTCACTTACTTATCTGGTCACATTACGTCCTCCCTATGCAGATTGATTCGATTGAACTAATACTGGTAGGGTGATTATCTGCATTTCCACGCAACGGAATCATTTATGGTATCGAAATTTCAACATCATATTTTTAAAATGTTTCTTAGTATGACAGAAATTCAGACACATGTTCGAAAGTAAGAAGACAACATAGTTGCTACAGTGACAGTTACTGTGCGAACGGAGGTACATGTGTACAAAATCTGGAGATTGATCACCTGGAGTCAGGCTTATTTTGTCAATGTCCACCTGCTTTTAAAGGTACTCAGTGCGAGTATGAAAGAAATCCATGCGAAGATGAAGTTGGCTGTGTTCCATTTTCTTGTGTGCGAGATCCACGAAATTTAGAGTATGGTTCCCGGTAAGTATTTTATGTCCAGTTTCGGGAATAACTCATTTTAAGACAGAATATTAATATCTCAAATTAGATCGTGAACAAATGGTAAAATAATTCCAGATTAAGGAGGGAGCGAATGGCTATGATATAAAAACAAACTAAGAGGTCATTGTTCGCCTACTTGAAATTTTTGTAAGAGATTGTGAGCTAACTTGCGAAATCAATGATTAGGTTAATTAAGTGATATGTAGTTTCAACCTACCGATGAATAGTGCTTTATGCTCTGAGCTGAACGGTTTAAATGGCTTTGCGCTTTCACTCTCGACAAAGTCAGGGTCACCAGTCTCAATTATAATTTAGTTTTTAAGACTATTGCAAAAGCAATAGACCAGTCACTTCCAATGACTTTGTTTGTGACTAGTTGTCTAGATACTACTGAAATCAATACTACCTGAATAATCTAGTTGAATAACTGTGGTCATTGGAAGTGATGCTTTTCATGATACGGGAACAAGTTGGTGGAATGATGATTCCCAACATAATTGAGTTTAAGTGTATAGTAACAGAGAAAACAATGTGAAAATTTGGAGATATAATCTCGTAATCAAAGAGCAGAAAGGCATCACGGCAGAATAAAACAACCTCAGCTGTCCTATGATTTCCAGTATATACCACTCAGTAACAGTAACCTATAAAACAGACACAATATATTTAGGTTCAATAACAAGTACTGACAAATTAACGGAAGTTAACTATCAAGAACACGTTAGTTTGCTCGGCTTCCTCCCCTGCATTCTTCATAATCTTTAGGTACTCAAACCGAAGATGGTGGGATTGGAGTGGAAACCTGCAGTTCAGTAACTCAAAGCTCAATCTTTAATCAGTAGCCAACATCCACTTAATCGAAAAACTGCTAACTTTCCATATATGAACTACATTTGTCTATCGCTTTCAGTATGCTGTTCCTAAATATTGTGAAAATTTGTTTCAGGAACTGTCCTGTTTAGTGCAGAATAAACTACAGTTCGTTAGTTATGTAGAGTTCATTGCGAAGACCTTCTTACTTCCATGTGAATCTTCACTCCTAACTTAAAAGAAATCTATCTTCACTATCAAATTCAAATCCCTATAACTTAGTGGTATTGGTTGTTTGAATCTCCTCACTGATGTTCAGGACTACAGTCGGTTGGGCTCAAATGACCAGCCATATTGTTTAATATAACTCAACATCTGAAAAACATCCAACTGTTCAATATTTAACCCACCAAAGATTTGTGTTTTCACAATTATCCTCGACTAATACCTGTGTCGTTCTTGGAAGCGATCTCTACTATCTGTGACCACGTCCCTAATAAAGGCGCACTGGTATGTTTGACTTTGTCGGAAATCACCCAAATAGTATCTGTTCTATGTAGAAAAATACACTTACTACTGAGATAAACTGTTGGATATTATTATTCATAAAGACAGAACCAGCTAGTCAAATCCATTTTTCTATCGATTAATAAAAGTCACCATTCACAAAGTCTTTTTAAGGTCAGTGATTGAGGACACAAATTGAGCTTTGATGGCTCAATGGGTTTTCATACCACTTAAATTGTACACTGGATCTCAGATAAAAGGAAAACATGATACAATGTATACCGTGTCAGACTAACCATAATTAATTAACATAGTTGCGATCTAATTATAAATGTTACTTAATTCCTTCTCTTTTTATGAACATATTAGTTGTCAATGTCCTACAACACATCAACATCAGACTGAAAGTGAACCCAGGTGTATACCTATATCAGTTTGTGGTGAATTCAATATAACAAGTGAATTTAAAACGAGAAGGCAACCATGTAGGAATTCGGGTCAGTGTATCCAAGATACTAAGAATCCAACTTTGTATAAATGTATTTGTAGCCATGGTTATACAGGTGGTCATTGTGAGATTGAACCATCACCAGCTATATGGAGTGTATGGTCAGCATGGTCTGATTGTTTATGGCCTGACTTAAATGAAATATGCCACAAAAAACCATATCGTCAACAAATACGCACTTGTATAACTAATGCAATCGGCCAAAAATGTATGGGGGAAACAAAAAGGATGACGCATATTGGATGTGATCTCAGTGTAGTGAGTTAGCATTACTTATGTACATATATAATATTTCATAAGTTCATCTTCGCAATTAGGGTTAATTTTGATTGGCTTACAATTCTTCATAATTAGGTTACATATTATTGTATTGATTGTTCTAAAACAACACAAATGTTTCACTGTAATTACAACTTCGTCTTATGTCCTACTTAGTTGATATAACCTAATGATAACTTCATAATCAGTCAAGGAATGTTCACAACGCTCCTACATCAAGTGGATTCGGTGTTACACAAAGTCGAACAACCACAAACTGAACTCACCATACTCATCTACCCAGTGATCAACTTGACACTCCTACTGAACACATAATCAATACTGAAAATTAGATCAACAGTTATACATTTTCACAATTATTCTTATTTATTTTCCAGCTCCATTCAAAATCAGAGATCAACGTATCACAAACAAAACGTGAGAATCTAATAAACGCATTAAAACTATGTGATTTATATAGTAAACAATATGTTATGCCAACAAGTGAATATGGATTAAATCAACAATTAATAATAGTTGAAGAAGCCGATGATTGGATTACAACCGGTTTTGAAGATGCACCACAACTACATTTGAGTGAGTCAACAGTAATTGATCAATCACAATCAGCAAACTGGCCTACGAGACAGGATTATCTACTCACCACAGGATGGATATATGTGACCATAATTCACATAGGAACAATACTTTTTTGGATTCATTACATACACCTTTGGAGAACACAACGAAGAGATTAGTCAATAACCATTTTAATATCGCCGATTTCGGTACTTTGATTTGCTTTACACCTGTTTTGGTTTTTCATCAACAGTACTATTCCGAATTCGCAGAAGTATCTGGAGTGGAACAAACTCTATCTTCTCTGAAGTAGTGCTCATTGCAAATGCAACATCGTCGCGATGACTAATAAAAGCCAACTCGTGTTAGTCAAGTGTTTAATTCATTTTAGTGATCTCTAGAAGCAAACAGATGTAGTTTCACTTAACGACAAATTCAAGTACCATTCAAGCAGATTGTGATGATGTGTTTGAATAGACTTTTTATCACGTTCTTTTGAAAGTAACGAATTGGATGCATACCTGAGGGTTTTGAGTTTATTGCTATCAGGGTTATGTGTACGGACTGCTGAGTAGTTCTGAGGTAGCTAACAGCAGTCCTTGATTCTTAGCTTCTCAGAGTGGCGTTAACCCGTTATCAAAAACGATAATTTTCTCATAAGTTTCATAACCACTGATTCCGGTCATTTCAGAAAGTTTAGGTGGTATATTTTTATAACTCCGCCCAGGTAATTGACGTACAGTAATCAATGAACGTCCACACTTCGACCGACTGGTCCTTTCTCTCCTGTGAGAATGTAACTCATCTGACTTCATATATTCGTTATCAGGTGAAAAGGTATGTCCCTGCCACTGAGACAGACGTTTTTAACCGAGGTTTAATGATACTTCTTGTTTATCCAAACCGAATTAGGTGATGCTCGGCTTTTCAGGTCCTTTAACTGTAAACAGACCATCACTATTGTCCAACCGCCTAACTGATAGCTAAGTGACTCCAGCAAAGATTGGTGATTATTCGATTAAACTGTTAGTCAAATGTTTGTTGAATCTTGCAAGGGACGACTGTAACTACTAATGATAAATGTAAATGCCGTACTAAATGGAATAGTAATGTTAGGAACTAGAAAACGAAGAATATGAAGCATTAGAAGGAACATTTCGAGTAAGAACACAACTAACGAAGATTCTGGCCATTTAAAGATGGATATAAAATGTAATACAAGACTGCAACATGTGATCCACTAGATCCTATTATGGCCCTTGTGTGATAAACTTTTAGTTGACAGAGCTATACAGTTTATAGAACAGTTTGTTAGATAACTAATGAATAAAAGTGAACTTTATGAATTACCCAAAGTGTCACGATAACATGAAAAATGACGAGTACATATCGTTTATCAACTCAAGAGTATGGTTAAAATCTATGTATTACTCCTAGTAATCTCAACTCGGTTCAGAAACAACACAATACATACTCATTCGTTAAAGATTTTCTCAATATTACGATTTGAAAGCCACTTAATAAACATGTTGACCAGTTCAATTTCCATGTCAAATTCGTGAAAAACCTAAATTTATATGCGGATATTTAAGTATTTTACCCACTGCTAACTAGGCAGTGTCATACTATCATGAAACTCTACGATGATATGATGAAAACATACGAATAAATACATTTAAGGATAGTTGATCAAACAGAGTGACGGCATAGTTTTGAAAATTAGAATTCATGACACGGAATAACCAAACTGAGTACAATAGATATGGACCACCAGTCTTGTTAAAAGTCCAGAAGACTATCGATCATTACCTCGTTTACTATCAATGGCCAAACCTTTAAGAAAAGGAAACGGGTATCAACCAATAGTAGAAGGATATCACGCTCTGCATATTGGAGCACTAAACTTTTAGGTAGGTATTATTTTAAAATAATTAGCTAATTAATGTGATAAAATAAGTTTAAGACATTTTTTGGTTTGTTAAACAAAGGAATGGTTGAATAAATATACGGAAAGTAATTACAAAGTCATATTAGAAATAACTACATTTTGTACAAATATACTGAGTGGGGTCCATCAATAATGGATTTGGATACTTGGATATTAGGCAGTGGATATCTGGCTGTAATGACGATTGAACCATTTTTTAATTCTTTGTTAAGTTTCTGTTCGATAGATTCCATCTGTAAATTTAAATAATTGTAGACACGTAATTGTTTTGCGAATATTTAACGTTTTCAAGATCCGGAATAGTATTATGAATAAGACAACTATCATACACTAACTCATAATAGAAAAATATAAACAATCATTTGACCAAGTGACCGTTCTAATTATACTGAAAATCTCGTATTATACTAAACAAATAATACTTAACACATTGTCACTAATACAAAACTATAAGTATTTTGAAAAACCCACCAATATGAAATTATTTCTCTACATTTATGTAGTAACGACTTAAGTGCAATGACGAACTCTCTGAAAGCATTGTAGCTTGTACTGAGAGCAGAATAGTGCATGATGGGGGTAAAACATATCGCTTAAAGAGAATAGTTTGCATAAAATAAAGCCTATAATACCAGCTATAGCCCGACGATTCTAGGTTTGGTAGTAACATGGAAATAAGTTTATACCTATTTTGCACATAATTAGTGGGTTTTTTGAGTCTTTTATAAACAATGATGTACATATAGATTATTTCATGAAAACGACCACAACATACACATCTGCACTGAATGAGTAAACACCTATTAATAATTCTAAATGTAGTGGGGAAAAAAAGAATAAGTAGCAAAATCAAAACCGATTCTTTCTCTTAATTCCACAGCCATTTCTGTATATCTATTTATTATTTATTTAAACACACAAACACTGATACAAGAAGGCACCAAATATATATGCGCCACACAAATCAAACGATTTGTGTGATGGCAGGGATACTGCACGGGCGCCAAAACAGAAGCAGTTTGTGTCAATGATATTCTAAATGGTTTTATTGCCAATAACAATCTACATTGAATGGATTTATCAGTAACACATCATTAAATTTACTCACCATTGAATCTACACCAAACAGTAAAACTGTATCATATACAGAAAGATTAGTTTTCCACATATTTTTACAAGCGAAAGTTACTTTGGGTGTAGTGAGTACTTTATTACTACAAAAGGAGTTGATACGTGAATACCAAACAAGCGGACGATTTAAATCTACACCATGAGCAGAAGTGATTTTCAATGTTGGTCGACTTATTAAATCAATTAACTATAATTTGAGAAAAAACATAGAAGCAAATAGGCAATAAGAGTACAACATTACATGTGAAAAAAGATTAGAAGTGGATAATATAACAACTACGTACAGCGGTATAGCAACTTTGGTCATACATTTTTCTACAGTATAGCTACTCATTTGATCATAATTGAAGTTAATTTTGAGAACAGAAACTTGTCAATCTGTGCCTTGTGAAATTTTTGTGTTACTAGCTCATTGTAAATTTCAAAGTCATTTTGGTCGCTAGTTAGTTTGAAGAGTAAGATAGTTTTTATCCTGGTTGAGGATGTATTGATCAAATATTTAGCCCCCACTAAAAATGTTAGAACTTCACCATACTTATTGTATACCAACAGTCTTTGTTTCTCGACATCTGGCCTGCTTTCAATCCTCTGGATGGGATTGTCTTTTGAACAAGTGTGTGCACGGGGAGTTTATCAGCATCCTGAAGACTCTATACACAAACAACTCATATAGGTAAGGCCATACGACTACCTCTCTCAACTGTTCCATTCGAGTAGTGTGGTTAAGCAGGTTTGCCTAGTCTCACACTCCCCAACTTTACCATCGATGACGTTCTGGAAACAGCTCTGATGGATGTAGGTAATGGTTGTATGGATCTGTTATCTGGAGAAAGACTTTTGGACCTTGAGTATGTGGATGATATTGTCTTACTGTGCAATCCTCACCTAATCAGTTGACATTGTGAGTAGGTATAGCAAGTGAGCTGCACACTTTAAATGCAAGGCACTTTTAGAAGACTGGAAGGACCATGTGTTTGCACTCACTCCTGGAAGTGAATAGTTAGAAGTCGTTGAGAAGTTCGTGTATCTGAGTAGCTGCATAAGTGCTGGTGATGAAATGAATGATGAGACTAATTTACGTATAGTGAAAGTCAGAGTGGATTATACCAATCTGGGCCATTTTTGGCGTCTTTACGATGTTAGTCTGACTGCAAATGACCGGACCTATAATGCGTCGACGAGAGCAGTTTTGCTCCATGCTTGTGAAACCTGGTCTCTCTGAGATGATGTTAAACACCTCTCTGTGTTTGATCATCGTTTTTTCCGACGGACTGTTGACGTTCAGTGGCAACACCAGATTAGCAATGCAAGGGTTAGGGAACGTATGTTTATGGACAGTGACGATAATTTAACTGGCGTCACCACCTTGAAATACAAACATCAGTGGCTTGGACATGTACTAAGAATTTCGTGCCAGAGAGTTCCACATCGTGCATTATGCGCTGATGCTCGGACTGGTTGGAAAAAGCGGAGGTGGTCAGTGCATAACATGGTGTCGTGGTACGGAAGAGAGTTGTACAAGACTGGCACCTGTCGGTCCTTCGAGACTCTGTTTGGGGTCCAAGAAGTAGTGCACTACAGTGACTTGAAGAGTTGTCAGACATGACTCAGAATAGAAAAAACTTTAACCAAAAGAATGCTTGCTGGTTGTGTTTTTCTTAATCGAACTACCCCTCCCATTAATATCACTGTTTTATCACTCTTATATACTAATTTCTCGTGTTTTTTTATTATACCCTTTTCTCTACCTCTTCACTATCTCATTTTCATTGTGGCGTATATATATTTTGGTGTCCCTTTGTATCAATCTTTGTGTTTGAGTAATTAAATAAATTCAAAAATATCCAACATAAGGTATATATTCACATAACTTTTTTTAGTTTATCAAGTTTATTCACATTTTTGCTATACTATACTGACGTGTGTTCATAGCCACTTTCAATTAAACTGATTTGTCAGCAATTTCAACCCATTTTAGAACTATGATTTTTAAATATTATAAGTCGTAATCACATGATGCGAACCAAACGAAATAAAATGTTGATCTGCTCAAATCGTTATTCACGCTCTCTTCATGATAAAATCTCAGTCAGTCACGAAGTAGAACCTGTACGTATGTATATTAGTTCATGATGCCATAACCCTCTAGCACAAAGGGATAAAGTTGTTGGGCCAAACCCCAGAATAGTAGAGGTAGTAACAGTATCAGTGGCAATAGGAAAAATTACAGACAGAAGATACGATCCAAAAAGAAAATACATATCAGTGAAATATGAACAAAAAGAGTTATGAGGGATTTAGTATCAAGGGATTAGGGGAAGACAAGTAATGGGCGCACATGAGCAATTGCAAACGATTTTGAATTTTGTCATTCAAAGTCTCTAACCCCTGGTTACGATAATAACGCGAACTCCAACCAGGTAGTCTAAACCTATTAACATGACCAAGCCCGATTGCCGGTGACTTCATGAACTAGTGCCATGTTCTGTTTTGTCCGCTTTTAGCTTTTTCTTTCAGCCAACTCCTGCACTAAAAAACATTGCCCGTCGAGGTAGGCGGTGTTTGGGCATACGAAACATATGTCCCAACCACCTCAGTTGATGAAGATTTGCTATCCACTCAATCGATCTCCCACCTTTATCTAGTACTCTATTCCGAAAACACCAAATGCTTACTCAATGGTCCCAAAATACACGAGAAATGCTTCGAATGCATTTTTGATCGAATACCAGTAACCTACGAATATCCCCAATTCTTAATGGCCATGTTTTACATTCCTAAAGTAGAACACAAAAAACTGCTGCGCAGTAAACTCGTCCTTTGGTTGGAGGACGGATATCTCGCCTACACTATACGTGATGCAAAATGAAGAAAACCAGTTGGGTATTCTGAGTCCATCCCGGAATTTCATCAGACACCAGACTATCAGAACGATAGAACTCCCAAAATAGATTAAGCGCGTCGATGTGTTCAACTACTTTACTCCTTATCACTAATTCAAGCGATGACACTAACCAATCTGGAAGTAACATTTTACATTTGGGAGTTAATTACGCGTATGAAATTTCAAAAAAGCTTGTATTATTATATGGAAGGCTTCTATGTTCAGAGTTCACAAGCTTTTAACTACGATTCACGTAGATAATACTTTTGGCCGGACTAGTACAAAATAAATTTGGATTAGCTGCAGAATTTCAGTTGCAAAAAATACACAAGAAAAGTAACAACAATATAAGATGCCTTAAAACATACTCTTTACCGAGTATCTGTGACAAAACTAGTATATCTGTTTAAATGGGAAATCGCAAATAAAACCAATCCATACTAACCACACGTCCATCACCGCTGCCTAGATCAATTATGGATCCTAATGACTTATCACTTTTTTGACTTTGCGCATACTCCAGAAGCTTGTACGTATTATCTAGCTGAGTCGACGTAGCAGGTAAGAATGGTAAACAAATTCTCCGAAATGCAGGAGAGATGAATGACCAAAAAATGTAGCATGAAGTAACAGTCGTAATCCCACATCCAATTAGTACGGGATCCCAGAGTAGTGAATGTCTATTTGACGTTGATTGGATACTAGAATGTCTGATTATCGACTCCAATGGAGTATCTGTATTCATTTAAGTAACTAAAAACAAAATAAAAAAGAAACGGTGACTGGCGAAACCAGAGAGTTGGTGTGAATTACTTGATAGGGAATTCTGGGGGAAAACAAAAACAAACAAACTGATGGTGCACATGGGCTCCAGTATCCTGCGGAAACAAATGGCGTATGAACCAATCGTTGGTCACCGGCTACCACGGGACTGCATCTCCTTACGATGCTCCACTGCCTTGTGGGTCAGACCTTTAGGTCAAAGGCTCGGGGAGTGGCCCCCTAAGAAGACCACCTGCTTCGGTTTGGGCACCTGGGCAGTATCACAGCCCTCACACATATCGAATAAGATTTGTGTGGCGCATAGGTATTTGGTGCCTTCTTGTACCAATATCTATGTGTTAAAATAAAAATAATAAATAATACAACAGATTTAGCCTATTCAGTTAGCGATGTCTGCTAATAACGTCAGTTACTCTGTACACTATTTCACGCGTAATTTGGGTTACAAAATACAACACCTACATGTACCCTGACTGTTTTTTCTCTGACTTGAGCGTTATCCCATGCACCACTACCATAGAACTCAACATACGATTCTGGGCATTGCTAGTCAGTAAATTTAAATAATGATTACTATATATCACCAGAATCCAAATGCAGTTACCTAAATTCGAAATATGTTAAATAAACTTTAAACCCCTTATAGTGTGAACATTTTAATGGAATTATACGTAACTACCAAAACTATCAAATTCTCACGTTTTCACAGAGTATACAATTATCTGCAGCTGACTTTTGATAGCAACCGAATAAGAACCTGGAGAAAACAAAAACGAAATTTCGGAGGATCCCAGAATAGTTGGACACACATGCTTTGTCCATGGAAAAGGACGTTAACACAAAATATTTACCAGATGTACTTCTCGTCAAAATGTCTTTCATATTGTGCTGAACAATGTGTACCGTCTGGTTCAGATGCAAAAGATTCATTTAGAATATAACACTCAAACACGTAGCATTTTGTCTAACGTATAGGTAAACATAAAGGCACATATATATGTGTACTTCCGTAAACGGAAATTTACCGTGAAAAAAATGTGTACAATACACATTTTACTTATGTTTGAACACGAGTACTAAAATGTTGTAATACTTTTAAAACTTAATTCTGTCATTATATAATGACAAACTTAAGTTCTGTACCCCAAACAACCAAAAAGGGGAAATAAAGGGGTAAATGCTTTGGAAGAGAAAGGGGAAAACGCATCAGAATGTCGCCTTTTTGTTTTGTATGTATATATATATACAAAACAAAAACTTACTGTTATATTCAGTCGTTCATATGAAGCATGATATAATGCAAAAGAACATCCACGCACACAGGAATGGTGGAAATAGAGGGGAACTTGGTATCAGTTTAGGCGGTGACGAGGTGACCCTGTAATGAAGGACCTTTCGGCGACGCCGAAGTGACCTTGAGAATTATTAACTAGGACGATTAACTAGGACTAAATGAAGGTTACAAAGCTATGTGATGAATTAGAACTATAATTTACAGTTGGTTGTTAAAGCTAGGAACTGGATTTAGGGGTTTCGTCACGAACTGACATCAGCCTTATTGCCAAAACTCTATTTAGTCAAATGCATGAGTGAACTTCGCGTCAGAGTCCAAGACTCGATAAGTACATAGAATGTACCTAAATTTAATAAAGACAGCATGAAGGCAATGACCCATTGGCATCGTCCATTGGTGAAGGTTACTGAGCACTTGCTGGTCAGACCGTCGTAAAACGATTGGTGCGCCACTTCGATAATCCGTAAGTTTTTCTAGACGCGGCAAAATAAAGACAGCTCTAAATTTGATTTTAATTCAGAGACCCTATGTCTGATTGGCTTCACCTTTAGGGTAGCGAAAACGACACCTTAATAACGATCCGTATAAATCAATTCCGGCTTTCGCTTGAAAACGACAGGAGGTTAGGTGGCCTGTGTTTGTCCTGGCAATGATGATCGCTCAGTTGATCCATTTTTCTCGTGAAATAGTCTGCAGATGGAGCTTCAATCATGTGTCAAGATAATGAACTTCTTTCGCTAATGATTCGATGGGAAAGTTGATAGTTAGCTGGCAAATAATTTGTTCTGGGCTTGTAAACTTTTTGGAGTGCCCTCGTAAATTCTCGGATTTGGAAGACAAGAAAAATTAAGGCGTTTCAGATGCTTGATTACAGTTCGGAAACTGTGATCAAGCATCCCCCAGATCTTTGATATGAAAGTGAGAATGGGTTTAGTTTAGCCAGTCAAGCATGATACGGTAGCTTCGCTATTTCGGGAATCAGCTTAGTTGCTGCTCTCTGAATCTTTTCCAAACGTTCACTGTCGTTTTTTAAGCAGGGGCTAGCCGTTCATATGCAATTTGCACGAATACTGTATACATAGTCAAAAATATTTGGGCGTCAATATAGCCAAAGGCCCATCATATTGATTATAGGGTTCTAAAATCATTGGCGGCTATTGCACGGCAGTGTGTAGTAGTAGTTAGGTCTTAGTTAACGGCGACTCCTAAGTCATTGTGTGTCTGGACAACAGGTAGACCAATGTTACTCACCGTGTATGTTGTAAGATCCATTTCGAATGTTTTGTGTGTGAAAATCCCTTCATGTATACACTCGCAGCTTGTTCCTATTTATTCCTTTAGTTGTACATTTTGTTAGTCTTTTAGATTCCATTTGTGTTGAAAATATTTGTATTTTATCATAGTTTTTTATATTTCTTATGCTTTTACAAAGTTTCCATGTTTCTTCCTGAACAGCATTTATGTTGTTTTACTTTATACTTAGTCTTGGCGATAGTCATATTGGCTTGTTCCTCCTTTTGATTGTGTTGCTTGTATTGACCGGAATTGTGCATTTTTTGATTGTTAATTGAAGTACTCTTCCAGAATTGGAATTGTTATGAAAAAACCAAATATTATCTTTTGAACGAATCTGTGCGTGGTCCATCCAGACAGGATAGAGTAACACTTATTTGTTGTGACTGATTTGATTAGTTGAACAATTATTAGTTGGATAGCTGGGTGGTCATAGTTGTTTAGATCTGTCATTTTACCAAATTACTTTGTTTGGGCTTCGACCGGTTAAGAGCGCTTATCCAACCCACCTAGACATCTATTCTGCAGTCGAAACCTTAGTTTGGATCTTACATATGAATCTGTACCTTGATTATCAAAAGGCACCACAATGCACTTGGAAGTGTGTGTTGGTAACTGCCACATTAAAGATCATTCAGATAATCTCTCCAGGTCATTTTGAAGCCCTGAGTTGTCACCTTTACTTTTTATCACTCTCCATATCTTAAAATCGTCATCATATAAGAAAACTGATGATGAGAGGATACTAGGCAAGTCATAGAGGAGGAACAACACTGATCCCTAAAAGTGCACCTTGAGGCACTCCACCAAGCACAGTTTCCCATGTAGACAACTTGGAGTTGACCCGTACTCTTTGTTGGCGCCCAAGCAGGAAGTTTTTCATCCACAGTAATAAATCGCCTCCAACTCTGACATTCCTTAACTTATATAGCAGCCTGTTGTAAGGAACTTTGTCAGTGTAGGCTACGTCTATAAGTAACTTTTGGTCTTTAAGAGCTCACCAGCTTTCACAAGTCACGAACAATTTCGTGAGACAGGAATAGCCTTTCCTAATGGCATGGTGCTTTTCCGAAAGAATCCGGTTTTCATCGAGATACGTGAACAGCTCCTTCCGAGTAGTCTTTTCCGAAATTTTAACACTTAAGCTGGTTAGTCTAGCGGATCGATAGTTTTCAGGTGTATGTTTCGTACCGGTTTGGAGACAGGACTTACTATGGTGTTCTTCCAGTCGCTTGGTAGATGTTGAACAATACATTTGGCATGAATAAAAGATATGACAATCAACAGGGACCACGCCTGCAAGGCCGACCCATGCCATCCGATCAACTCGAATTAATTCAATTCATCGTTCCCGCCTTTCTCCTCGTTGGGTTTCTATCCGTGTTAAATTTTGAATATCTATGTCCCCAATTGTTTCACGTTCAGTTTTGTGGCCTAATGCCACCGCAATCCTGTCTTGGCAGTATATTCAACGACAGGCGCAATAGATAAACATCGACATAGTTGAGAGACTGGTTATAAGTGAGATTTCAGATGAAAATTGAATGAATACATAAAGAAATTTTTCGCTAGTCATTTGCGCATTCGTATTCTTAACAAGTATCATTGGATTTCTGTTGACTTCATCAGGTCGTCGTTGAAATGTATCCAGTGTTCTACACAATGAAAAAATCTCACTCTTCTGTGTAACAAACGTAATATAGAAGCAGTCACCGTACTGTCAGTACGCGGACGAATATCTCATGTTGCAGCAACATCCAACTTGTTGATCCATAATGCGATATGAAATTGGTATGAACATTCCAAATATGCATAAGAGACAAAGAGTAGTTTAGCGGTAAATAGACCCCCAAAATCAATGTCACTGTAAGTCTTCGAAACTGATGCTGACCGCATTAGATGTAGAGAACATTTCGTGTTTTAAGTTAACCCTCGTGCTATTGATAGAAGAAACAAGACAAGTAGTGAATAGGTCTTTATTTCGATCTTCGCGCAGTCAGAGTGGAGCGTGGGATTATTTGCTCAGACAAACAGAGCCTCTCAACATTCAATGTAACATAATAATAAATATAATGCAAAATGAGGAAGGGAATGAATACTTGAACTATGCTGTTTTGGCATATGCTTGGTTGTTTGAGGTCAACTCTTAACCAACCAACCTAAGCCGTTACATTAGCTTCCCCCTAGATTCGACTTCCGTAGGAACGTCGATTGATTAACTTAGCTATCAAAAACACCTTAGTTCTGTTTCTCGGCCCAAGGGAAATAAAAACTCACTCACTGTTTGACTTTCAATTAATGACGACTAATTCCGTCAGCAATCAACGGCAGTCCATGGCTGTCTCTTCATTCGCTAGCTTGTCGTTTTATTTTGAAGTATGTGATTTCTTCTACAACTATCGCTAACGGTTTGCTACGTGCTCTCAAGAGAAAGTGTGGGAACGTGGAACAAGAATATCTGAGGAAGTGCAGCGAGCGGGCTACCTAACACCATGTTGGTGAGGTACGACTTTTTCCATGCTCAGACCGGCTATCAGGTGTTTAATCACCTGCCTCTTGAGTCGCCCTCAAGTAAAAAGTAAAGAAGAATCTACTTCAAAGGTAATGGTGAAAACCAATCAAATCTGAAGAACTGCTCCACTGCCTGCATAAAATAATAAGATACAAAATGGAAATACATAAATATAATTGATAATTGTTCGGTTCCACGTAAGTGATTGGCCTCCGGAACGAATTGGTATTCTGAAAGGAAATAGACATAGTGTAGCCATCTTGTGTACGAAAAAGTATGAAGACAAAAAAATACTTTCTTATAACGCATATATGTAAAAGTGTAAACTTGCGAGAAGTTGGACTCATTGTCAAATCCGATCGAACGTATTACCGTAGGCCCACTGACGACCGCCTTTTGTAACCAGGTACGTAATCAAGGGTTCATAAGAGTGCTCCAAAACAACGGAAAAGAATATACGGCAAGGGAGGAAAAAATTATGAAGAGTACTAGGACCAAATACGTTTGTGTCACATACCCTTTTCTTGTTTGATTTAGGTATGCATGATATATTGAAGCAATATATCGTCAATTCATCCAAGTAACGAATTGGTTTGCACCTCAGAAGTGTGTAAGTCCTATTACTCATTAGTATTATGAGTGATTAATTGGTGTAAGGAAATATTGAAGTCACTTCCTCCGTGGTCTGATGTGGCTTAACGGCTAAGCACGCGGTCTAGCATTCAGGAGGGCAGAGGTTCGAGTGCGTGTGGGGCCTGCGTTTTTGTTCACCAGACCCACCTTCAATACGATGTTTGTTGCCCGTAAGTCGCGCACATATGAGAGAAAAAATGACAAGAGGACAGATTGATATATCAAAGTGCCATATTGGAAAAGTATAAGTTCTTTGTTTACATGAATATTATCACTATAGAAAAAAAACTACAAGTTTAGTAAATTTCCATTTTACGTTATATTTAAACTAACGAATATATATATATATATATCAGTTATTGACATAAAATGTCTTTTTTATAACGCTAATGTTAAGTTCCAGGACTTTGTATGGGCCACTAATAATAATTGGTTTAACGTTAGCATAGTCGTGATATTCATATTGTCAGTTCAATGTTATGATTACTAAACAGTTCCCTTATAAGTTGTTTAAAATTAGGTATGTGGAATCAATGCGGCTGACATAGTAACCTTACAGTAACGCACTGTACTATATCTTCACGGTTATTGATTCTTAAATGTCAGAAATTAAAAAAAATCTGTATATTGCCAATAAAGATGGGTTATATGATCACATTAAAAAGCATGCTGCAGGGAAACTGGTTAAGTCATTACGCAAGTTTCCTAAACATGAAAAAAAATGATGAGAACTTTAATAAGTACTTGACCATGGTTTAATCCAAAATATTTTGTCTAGAAAACTACTTATTAATGGTAGTATTAATCGTATCAAGCTACTAAACATATCCTCAACCGAAAACTTTTAGAAGTAGTTCATATGGTATATATGTATAGCCAGTCTACGTGAAA